TTCGGCAACTGCTATCCTCCTTAAGAATTGCATCATACACCTGTGTCCGGAACTGCATATTGCGCTGACATGCTTGTGCGACAATGCAGCAGCGCGGTCTCTTGGCAATCGCCAAGGAGTCGGACGGACTCGCCACATCGACGGAAAGCTGTTATGGCTTCAGCAGATGACTCAGGAAAAGATGCTGGACATTTCGCCAGTTGGAACCGCGGAGAATGTTGGTGACCTTCCCACGAAGCCGCTGAAGCCAGAGAGAGTTGAGTTCATTCTTGCACGCTTGAATGTTCGTGACAAAGACTGCGGCTATGCTTTGGTTGGGAATGATCACTTGCTTGACCACAGGACGCGACACCATGTGAGTCGCATTGTGAAGCGAGGAGCAGTGAACCCACAGCTTGTGCTTCAGATTCTTGCATTGGCTTTGCAAGCAGATTCTGTCGCCAGTGCCGATGATGAGCCCAATACGCATCGCGATGACGCCTTGAGCCAGGGGACTGGCGAGCACGGTTACGGGGAGATGTTTTGGAATTTTCTTGAACAGTTGCTGTATGCGATTTTCTTGATTGCTGATTTCCTTGCAGAGCATCCCATGCCGAGTTTTATCGTGAGCCAATGCGTTATCATTGCAGTGCTGTGTGGTATCTTCTTGTGCCGTGGAAACAGGCCAGAAAGATTGCATGAGAAAGCAAGGGAGGCAGCCGCGAGCAGCGATTCCAGCGCGCCGCAGGCAACGCCGGGTGTGTGCGTCAATGTGACGGTCGAGGGAGCCAAAGTTTCGGTTGATAGTGTAGTCCCGAAACCTGCCGAGAACCCTAGTCCTTGTGCCGGGCCGTGCAGTGCGAGTGTGCTTGGACAGAGCAGCGGCCGAGCTGCTGATGATCATGATGCTCCCGACCCGACAGCGCGATCATCCAATGGACCTGCGGTGCAGCCGAAAGCACCGAGCCCAGCAGTTGCATATGCACCTGTACTTGACCAGCGTATCAGAGATGAGCTTGATCAGCAGACCGTTTGGGTGACCAAGTCGCGTGGTTATGCATACCATGGCCGCCGGAGTTGCGGCAACTTGCATAACGCCAAAGCCCTTGAGCGCCTTACACGTGGAGAGGCAGTGCGACGAGGCTTTAAGCCATGCAAAGCTTGCTACGGTGGCTGACTTGTTATAATGCTCTTGATGCGCCAATCCTTGAGTGCGCTGCTCCGGGCAGTGCACTGATCGGTTGGATTCTTGTACAAAGGCTGCTGGCAACTACGATTGTACATAGTCTTGTGTTTGAGCAAAACATGACAGGACTTCAAAACAGCATTTTGCTGTCAATCTCGATTCTCTTACGAACCACTTTGGCAGCTGTGGAGCAGCTGCGAGTCCGAATGAGTAGGCTCACGAGCCACTCGATGCAATTAGGCATCGCAATCCTTGTGCTGATCCCTTAGGAATCATGCTTCAACGTGGTGTTGCAGCTGCGAGCTGCACTGATGCCACATGCGCCTACGCTTGGGTGAGTCAAGCTATCGTCTCGTGGGCGGCCCGCGCCCTCAGAGACGGTGTAACCTAGTCGTAGATGTACAGTTCTACGTAGTCGAACGACGTATCGAGCCAAAGACCTTTTGGGGCAGTGCTCATGAAAAGTAGTCTGTGAGTCGAGTGCAATCGTGAACTAAGCAAGCTGTTGTTTCGTACGGGGTGAGGCAAACTAGATTATGCCGAAGACTTCAACCCGCAAGCTCAATGAAGCTTCGTAGGCGGGGTGTTTATCATTTTGCCTCCTAGGATACCCCATGCATTTTATCATGATTTGCTTTATCGTATTTCATGCACTCATGAGTTTCACACTGAGATTGCGCTATACTCCGCAGGCGTCTTTGAGGATTCAAAACATTTTCATGATGGGGCAGCTGCGAGCTGCATGCAACCCACTTGTATGATCCTTGTGTTACTTGTACGCTGAGCGCAAAACTTGAACCTTGGAAACGCCTTCGCTTGGGTGAGTCAAGCTTATCACTTCGTCGGCTGCGCCTAGCCTTCGGAAGTGATGTAACTAGTCGTAGATGTACAGTGCTACGTAGCAGTCTTAGTTGATCCAACGACCTTTAACGGCAGAGCTCGAGAACGCATAAACTTTCTTATGAGTGCAGTCGTGAACTAATTGTATTTGTTTGAACAACGGAGAATCATGGTACAGAAACCCATGCCAAGGCCATGAGAGTCTGTAGGCGGGGTGTTTATGATTTCTCCATGTTGCATACCGTATTTTGCCACACTTGTTTTATCTGTGATGCACTCATTTTCACCAGAGCATGCGAATGACATGTCTATGATCCGCAGGCGTTCTTTCAGAGTTACAAAAGATTTTCAGTTTTTGATTCAGATTGCCAACACAAACTGCCACAACCTGATTTTTCCATCTGTTAATTGTGCCTCACTCCAGCATCTGCGAAGCAACCTGCAGTCCAATTTTGTTGCTCAGTTGGTGACCGCTCGAGGTTCTCTTCTGGCACGACCTCAATAGTGTTTATTTTGCCATGCTGTTGTCGTCCAGCATGTGCCCACAGCTGCATTTTGTAGGAACAGCCAATTCTTGAGCACAGTTGCTCGCAGGCTCTGATGGCGGTCCTACGGCTCGTCAGTGCTACGGCATGAGCACGTGATGGCGACATTGCACTGTCATTCAAACTCCTGAAGCTGAGGTGCTGTTGCTTGCCGATCGGGCACATGCTTGACCCTTCTGGCACAGTTCGTGCTGTATACAGGCTTAAACAGCCCAAGAGGCTTGTCCCCAGTGGCTCGGGGAGCTCAGTGGCTGCGCAGTGATTTCGGTTTAGAAGGAAAGCTGGGGCAAGGTTGAAATTCTGAAGTCGATGCCTATTGGAATATCAAGTAAAGTGACAAAACAACAAACACAGGCAAAATCCAATAATTGTTGAGGTTCGCAAGTTTGTTTCAATTGAAAGCCAAATCGAGCAAATCTTACACAGTCAGGTCGGATGACGACAAAGAAAACTTTGACCTCGAGGTTTGGGTGTATTTTTGAGACATGTTCTTGTTTCATTTGCACAAGAACTGTGGGAACGGCTTTGTAGGTGAAGGACCAAGACATCCATAATACATGTGTTGTGTATTATTAAGATGTACGATTGTAAAACATTTTGACAGAATGTTCTTGTCTGCAGAAGTTTGTGCTAATCTTGAATAAAGAACATGCAATGTCTGGTTAAAATTCAAAAATATCGGTGCTGTTTCATGTATGTGGACAGGAAGCAAGCACATCTTTAGCATCAACTTTACAACCATCGCAGAAGGCAGAGCCGCATGTTTCGATGTTGACTGCATAAGTTCCAAAAGGCCTTCGAGGCGATGCCACAGAATTGGTCGGCCCATGTTTGGTTCAGCACTGCGCCACTTGCTTGGTTGAACTTGCACGCAGCAGTGTTTGGCACATGGTAGAAATCTTGGTTAAACAAAACAATTGCTTCCCGTCAACCCAAACGTGAGTATGCCTCCGATCTGAGTGAGTCCTACAACCTTAAGAAATGGAGTTCCGACAAGCCATTCCCAAGCAGCTGCGTAAACCAGCATGGGCGTCTCATCTGTCCTGGTGAGAATGCTTTGGTTGCCATAAAGGCCAGCTTTTCTTCGTGCCTTCGCCATCGGTTTGCACAGCATCGGTTGCGTCCCTCAATAGCTCAGGCAGCTCAGGGTTTCGCGCAAGCGAAACGTATTCCGATTCCGACTGCCGCATAGCGCTCAACTAGTTTTTCTCGCCCGAGCATCCTTCCTGTGCCCCAGGCTGGCCACATGACATGGCATCACCAGGTTCGGCCGTGGCAGCAAGTTTTTTCCCCAGCGTCTTTGGATCGGCAAGATCAGAAGCCTTTTCCCGGCATCCGAGGTTCCAATCCCGATGCTCGGACCATGCAGTGCCAAAGTTGTGTTGAAAGCTGGTGGCCAGGACGATCGTGCCGCGAGTGCGGGATCTCAGCTGAGATCGGGATCGTGCCAAAACATTGCCCTTCTCGTGAAGCTGTCTTCCAAACTCCACGACCTCCACCTGTGGCAAACTGCACTGGAAGCACAAGCCGAAAGCGCAAAACAAGGGATCCAGAAGCTCTTGTCCCTAGGCCAGTCCCGCGGAAGCCCAGCTCCGCAACCGAAAGAACATCCACAAGCAGAAACCGCCAGCATACGACAACCTTGGAGAAGGAAGTCGAAGTGAAGGGAGTCGAAGTGGGCTGGCAGCATGTCTCCCCCAATGCTGAGTTCATGAATCCCGAAGACAGAGCCTCAGAACGATCAAGAACACGTGCAAGCCCTAGCTTGAGTGCCAACTGCCTAGACTCGCCACCGAATTCCAGCCTGTCAAACCTAATCCCTATGTCTACCAAGACTTGGAACCCCGAAGCATGGAGCTTTCCATTGAAAGACCTTGTCAAAGACCCTCGAGGCTCTCCTTCTCCACCACCAGGGTCGGAAGGCGTGGAGAGTTGAATTGCCGGCTCGGGGTTGTCAATGTTTGGGTTTACGCGCCGGCCTAGGAGGCTTCAGGGTGTTTGGAGAGGTTGTTTTGGTTCCTTTCGGGTTTGGGTGTTCTGATTGCGCAGGAATCAGTGTCGTGTCGGGCTTCTGGCTGTTTCTACAAAGCTGTTGTTGGGTATTACAGTGCAGCTTTGGAAGATTTGGGGATCTGTTTCAGGAGTTTCTTTGATGTGTTTCTGCTTTCGAATGCTTTCGAGCAAGAGTTCTCAGGGTCAGGACTTTGGCTTCGTAGGCTGCTGAACATCAGAATCCAGGATCTGGGGAGGCAGTTTAAGGTTGTTTGAGAGGAGTTTAGCTTAGGTCATGAGTACTCCCGTTTCGTAAACCTTCCAGCGCTTCCAGGGAGGCGCAGCCCTCGCCCAAAGCCAAGCAGTGCATGGATGCCCGCTTCTCAACGCTTCTCGTTCGCTGCCATTTCAGCCGGCTTCCTGGTGCCGGCCCGGCCGGGCCCACTGTCTCAAGTGCCATGGTCGGGCTCTCAGAACTAGGTTCCCGTGTGTTCTCAACCCTGTCATGTTGACACGCGCGCCGACAGCAACGCAGACACAACCAAGCAACGTGAACAGTTAAAGCCAGTCATCTGGAAAGGGGAACCTTGAGACGCTTTTGAGTCAAAGGCTGATACGGAGGAGCTCCCTTCCCTGACGGATTTGTTGGAGGACCGGACCTGGAGCCGTCGAAGCTTTCTGCTTACGGAGCCATCAGAAAGCCTGCGAGGAGATCAGCACAGCACGTGAGACCGCTCGAGTGCAGTGGCGGCAGAATCTGAGGAAGTGACGTGGCCGATGGAGCTAAGACTTAAGAACTTGTCACAAGTCGGGGGTCTTTGCAGGGAACACGAGTTCCGGCTTCGCCTTGCATGGTGGTTGTGGCCGCGTTGGTTGGTGGTGCGGAGATCACTTGCGCGAAGCCTGTTGTTTTGGTGTGGGCATGTGTGGAACGCCTCCAAAAAGCCCAAGTGGATGAGGGCCAGACTTCGAGATCCACTCCGACCGTAGTCAGGAGCCTTTACCGCAATCCTTATTCAAATCATTTCAAACCCTTGGAGCCTAAACTCCTGGACCATGTTTGCACCGCCCAGTTCGCGGCGGGTCCCGGGTGCCTGGGCAGATGCGAACGCCCCTCGGCAGGATGGAGGTTTGACTTAGCAACGAAGCACAGCGCAAATCGACACCGAATCTTGACTCACAGGTTCGGCTTTCGAGCATAAGCTGGCGGCTCGGGATTCAAGCTTCAGGGTTTACGCCGATGCTGAGGATGTTTGATTTAAAGCTGACTGGCAAGCGTGGATGAGCGCACTGTTCCGAGGCCCTGCCGCGCCAGCGCACAAACTGGCGTTTCGACCCTGCCAGCTTCAAAGATGAGCTGCGTGCGGTGGGGGCCTTGGCTTTGCGGTGGATCGGTAGTTGAGGGCGGGGCGGCGGGGCGGGGAGGGTCTCTGGCGGGGAGTCGCAGTGACATCACAAAGCTGCTTGACGAGCCTTTGCCACTGCAGGTCGCAAAGCGCTTCCGACTGCCACTGCGACGGGGACCCTCGCGGAAGCCTCTCGAGGTGCAGATTCGAAGGCGGTCTAGGTCAGGTTGACTGTTGAGGGTTTACTCAAGAAACTTCAAGGTCGGAAAGGGTTGGATCCACTGACTTTGAATGCTACTAGTAAGGCAGACCCTGAGCTTGGTGCTGAAGTACAATCTGCAGTTCTGGCCAGAGTGGTCAAGATGCCTTGTGTCCCAGGTTCTTGTATCCCAGGTGCACAGCCACGACCTGCCTCAGCGTTTATGAACCGCAGACCTCAAGCAGAATCCCACACCTGCAATTCGCCTCAGGGCCACGAAGCCACGAAACCCGCTCTGCGGAGGCTCCGAACATGAAGATCCGAAGCCCTCGTCGCTCGGAGAGCAGCCGTGAGGGCAACTTTCGGGTCTTCGTGGGGCTTTTAGCGGCGCTTGGAGCGGCTTAGAGTCTCGGCTCTCTCGGTTCTCTCGCTCTCGAGTCCGAGCCGAGAGACTCCTGCGAGGCGAGATCGCTCCCTTCATTCCGCTCCTCGAGCCGCACCTCAACGAGTGGGATGCCTCCAGGCCCCCCGGCCCCGCTCTGTCTTCGCCTGAGAAGGGAAGCTCTGGCACAACCCGTCATTAAGCCTGTAGAGCCTTATGCTTAACCTCAGAAGCCAGATCATGTGCCCCCAAGCTTCTTCAGGGCAGCACTTCCCCAGCGCCGCTTCCCATTGATGGGCTTGGGACGGCAACTTGGCGACATCGGAACTTGCCGCCTTCCGAGATATTGAACCGTGAAGTCGGCTGTAAACTGCACAGCTGCTGAAGCCCAGAATTCAGCTTCGGCTTACATGGTTGTCTGCAGCGAAGTTTATTCAGAAGCTTTCCAGCTTCGACCACCGATAAGTCCACCTGGCATCCGATCCGCTCAGTAGCAAACCCGACCAAGACCACATCTCGGGTGCCTCTCATGAATATCGGCATACCACTTTTCCTTGACGAAGAAAGGGAGGTACATAGCCGCAGGTCCTCAGCTGACGAGTGTGTGCTTTTCTGCATCAGGACACAGCTGCAGAATCTTTCCATGTGTAAGGTACCCGATGATAGAAGCTCTAGACCACTTTGGCCGTAGAGGTAGAGCATTCTCTCGCAATCCTGTTTCATAAGTCCGAAAACCCAGAATCCGGCTGACAAGGTTCACAAACACGAAGCTGCAGGGCAAGCCTCCTTGGAAGGACTCCTGCCTGCCGACAGCAAAGTTTCCGCCCTGCACACATACTCACCAGCCACGGCACAGAAGCGTGACGTGATGTAACGAAGCCTGCTGATTTCCGAGAGTCAAGAAAGATCGCTTCGGCGACGGTGCAGGTTACTGTGTCATACTTTCACAATTTAGCATGGAGTGATACTTCTCCCGCGCCAGAGAGCAGCTTCCTCGCAACTGTCTTCACCTGTCTTACGGAGAAGCTTGACGACATCATTTTTGTTTCTTTTCGCTTGCATTTAGCGGCTTCAACGAGCCAGCAACCCTCCTAAAGCAGGACCCGAAGACGCTGCCGCCTTTCTGCAGCGTGGCTCCGGCACGCTCGGGAAAGAGCATGCTTGAAGGACTTGACAACATTTCCGCAGGGTGGTTGATGGCTGGATTTGATGGATGGATGGACATTAGCGGTAGCGGTGTTGTTCACCCAGTCTCCCTCGATAGCCGGACAAGCCTTTTGACGGATATAAGGATGGTGCAAAAGAAGTGCGCAGCTTGGGGTCATTATGCGTTTGGGGAGACCTGCTGGAGGGGATATCTGCAGTAGAGGCTGATGCCAAGCACTACCGACAACTTGAACCACTGCAAATTCCTCCATGCCCGGAGGCGCCTGCTGCACCGGCTCCACACATGCCGCCACTGATAGCTGTTGATCTTTAAGGCTTCACGGGCTCAGATTTTGAAACAATCCAGGTCGAGGAGCTACATACGCGAAACTCTGGTGCGCAACCTTTGGGTCCTAACCCCTTGCGCGGGAATCTGCATCCTTATAGCCATCGACGACAAGTTAAATCTGAAACCCCGAGCCGGAGATTTAGCTTTAGCTGAGAAGCGATTGATGGCAACTGCGAAGCAGTCCGCCTTTCGCTGCACCTCTTTGCAGTTTTAGCTTCTGTGCAGATGTTGATTTAGCTCCTGTCCGAAGATATGAGTACGACCCTTAAATCACAAAGCTCCCCGTGCTGCAGCAGCTTGCACGGTTTGGAGCAGTAGGACTCTCTTGAATTTACCCGATTCGGCTGCTCAGGATCATTTTTCGATCGTTAACCATTATCATAATCATCGTCAGTCTCATCATTCTGGCTACTGTGTCTCGCCCCAGTCCCAATCTTTGGACAGACATAGTTGGCAAGCTGCCAAAAGCAGCGGCCGTCGACGAACAGCCTGAGCGGTTTGGGTTTCAGGAAGGAGCTTCTTGTTGAGCTTTCATGTCCGGCCTGGTTTTTGAAAACAGCAGGGATTCCCGCAAAATCCCTTACGGCTTAAGGGTTGGCTTAGGGGCTCTCGGGTTCATTGGTGGGTCCAGGGTGCTGAGAGCTTCCTTTCGGTGACGGGTCCGGGCCCACTGAAACCCACGAACCCTACTTCAGGTCAGTTTTCGCTTTCTCTGCAGTCCTACAGGGCGTGCGCAGCATGCGTCAGCATACGGCATGGCAGATTTTTTTTGGATTTACAGGCGCGTAGTCCGCTGTTGGGATGACAACAACAACAACAGAACACTGAGGATTGGTGTGGCAGGCTATCGGCTATCGCTACATGTGATCAGAAGCGGGGATAGTAGGAGCAAGAAGAAGATTGGCAAGACCCTTCAGCAAGCATAGCAGCAACTGTGCCCGAACTATGCATCGTAAGCGTGTCAAGCAGAAGAAGGATTCAAGTTGAGCTGTTCGTATTTGGAGTGGTTTTCTTGTATGATGTTTGTCGTAACAGTAATTATGACCATGTTGTCGAGCCAGTCGAACTAGTTGTATTGCGATGGCGATGGTGGTCTGTTTTGAGGGAACTTAGCAAGCAAAGTCTTTGCTGCGGCGCCTTCGGGCGGGAGATGTCGAGATAACGTACTGCGCCAGAGGTTTCGCTGGCTGGAAAAAAGGGGTGAACGATGGTGAACGTTCAAGCCTTGGTTTTGATTAAGCTTGAACAGCCGTAGCTTCCAGATTAGCATTTGGGTCCGCTGAAGCCCTAAGCCACGAAATCTCCAGAACAGCCTCAGCTTTTATGGAATGTTGCTTTGGCTTCAAATGCCTATGTTGAACCCCGAGATGACGAAAGCCGAAATCGAAAAGGCTGACCCCTCGAGTAAAGTCCAACTCTAAAGTCTGTGTGAGCGCTGTCTGTGTGTACAATACCGAGCAGCCTCCTTTGCGTTGCAAGTGCAAGGGTGTTCGCACACAGGCAGTCAATCAGCCAATCAATCATCAACTCTAAAGCCCCATCCCCAAAATCGCAAGTTCCTGAACTCCCAGAAAGGTGGTTGGCAGCCCCCGTTGTTTGAGCCAGTAGCAGCGCCTCCAAGCCGCTTCAGGCTGGGGTGCTCCGCTTGGGATTGCAGATTTATGGGTTTGAAGCGGGATGTGTGTGGAAATGTTTCCCAACCCTGTAGCATGCTATTGAGCGACTCATGGATGGAGGCCACAGAGGAAGATGTATGCAGGATAGCAGCTGCCCGATCCAGGCCCCTGCGCTAAGGAAGGGCTCAGCTTATGATCGAGGCTCAAAGCCAGCAGGCTCCGCCGATCCATGCCTTCGCGGGAAGGAGAAGGAGCCCCAATCAATAAACACCAGAAGAGGAATTTCTTGAAATTCTTCCTCCAACCCTTGGCTTTCTTCTCTGCCTCCAAGCAGAGACCTCGAGTAATGTCTCAGAGTCGAGACCTCCACAACCCCCTTCACGGCTTGCATCCTGTTTCACCCTCAAGCCATTGAATATCTGCCAATGGAGCCTAACCCGTGCTCTGCCGCTTCATGTGCGACCGACTGGCAAAGCTTCTTGAGAACACAAGCTACAAAGCCACTCTAAAACCCCGAGCTCCCGAGGCCTGGGCCTGAAAGCTGCCGGGAGTTCTGCGGAGGCAGAGAGCCTTCTGTCGCTACGAAGAGCAGAGAGAGGGTGAGCTGTGCATCGGAAGGGCCATGCCCCGAAGTCTTGATATCGCCTTACGCCTGAAGCTGATCCTCAGGTGTGGTGCAAGAGCCCCAAACGCAGGCCGTGAGGGTAGCTGATTGTTCGACCCATGCTGTTTTGATATGTCAGCCTGTCTTCCGATTTCGACTCGATGTTCAATTTTCAGAACTTCAGATTCAGGCTCTTTCCGTCTGCTTCTGCTTCGGAGGTGCAATCTATGAACACGTCTTGCACATCCGTTACAGGCTGAAACCTCGAACTTTATCCCCAAGCCTTGCATAGGAAGAGCCCGACAACTATTCGTAGCTATTCCTGATGTGCCCTCTCCTCAACCTGCAAGACCTGCAAGCCTGGGCCTGGGCTTCTTCGCAGGCTGCGAAGCAGCCGGGCCTCTTCGGCTTCCTCGGCGGCCGGGAGGATGCCGAAGGTCAGCGCCCACCCCCAACCCACTTGGCACCGGGGCATAACTTGTACCGTATAAGCTTCTTTAGAGAGGTCGACGAAGCTGCCTGCTTCGCCAGCATCACTCTCAATACTACCTTGAGCTCAAGCCACCCTGAATCACTTTCTTTCAAGTCTATCAGATCTTGCTGAATGGGTCTGGCAGGCTGAGTCAAAGATGCTACTATTGGCCCCGGACATCTCCTTTAGGGTCTTGCTGTTTAGCTCTGTCCTCTGATTCCCCAGTCGGGACACGCCGCATCCGATCGCACCAGGGGCAAAGTCAAGCATCGAATGGTCCACGAAGTAGCGATATCTCTAACCGGAGCATTCCGCTCTCGTCGCTGTCATGCATGATAGCGTGAGGAAGGGGAAGTACAAACACATCGACAGGATCTATCGAACCCGTTGCAGGTCTTTCCCACTTTACGACAATCTTGCTTTGCCCCACGTTCCTTTTCAATGGTGCCCCTTGCGTGGCTTGTGGCCCTGATCTGGCTGGCACGGGCCGACGACAAGGCAGCAAAGGCACGGATGCATGGTTCAGTAGAAGAGGCTTTAACTGGTTGGGATACCTATGCCAAACCCGACATGACAGTTTCCCTCCTGTGAGATTGAAAGGTCTGAATCCAGGGGCAGGCAGAGGGGATTGATAAGGGCTTGCTGCAAAAGTTCTGTGCCCCACCTGCGGCATTCTTTGGGTTGCCTTCTACCGCGATTTCCAGGGAGAGCGAAGCTTAAAAGGTGGCTGTACTTGCTATGATTGGCTTTCTAGATCTTTGGGCTTCCCGTGAGGGTGAAGGGAGGACCTGGACCAGCTTCTTCTCTGCAGTGAGGGAGGAGCGAGATCGACTCCTTGCTCCCTGCAGCTCTGTGTCCTTCCTTTCTTTGGCGGAGCCTCTGTGAGGGGTCTCTTTGGGGTCTTGGGCACCGCTATATACCCTGAAGGCCTTGAAGAGCTGATGTTTAGCTGTAGTCGCCCTAAAGAACAGAGCCCTGAGCCCTCAACCCACATCGGCCCAAATGGCCCACCTGAGAGTTTTTGCGTCCCATACGCCAGGCCACCTTGCGCGGGTCCCAGAAACCGGAGCCAGACTTTGAGATCCCCGGCTTTCTCTTTTTGGCAGTTTTCGGGTTTAGGGTATTTAAGTTTTTTCAGGTTTAGATCTGTTGCCTTGTGGTACGCACTTGGGGTGAGTGCCCTCGGTTTTCCGAAATACAAGCACACTTGTCGCCGCTTTTGTTTTGGGTACCCTGAGCCTCCACGTAGGTTTTTGGTCCATGGGTTGGAGCTTTGATCAGGGTTGTTAGGTTTTCGAGTTCTTACAACTTATGTGCCGTGAAGTGCTTGGAAGACATTTTTCAGATTCTGTGAGCTTTAGGGACTGGGGGTTCTTAGCGGCTTGTGGTAGCAAACAGAAGCTTGCTGGTGTTGAAATGACAATTGCTCAGCGTGGTTGGTGGGAATTGTGATCCGACCGTGGCCATTTTGGTCTCAAGGATCACACCCGAACTATATATAGGCTTCATCAGCAACGAGTTTATGGACCTTGTGGTCGTTCCTGGATCCTTGGGGAGTTGGCTTCCTCAGGAGGAGGGCCAACCTGGGTTTGGGAGCCCGGGTTCGTGGACCACGTGCTCTTGAATGTGAGCTGTTGCATTTGGGCCTTGGGCTTCTGCTGCGGTCGGCGATCCGTTTGGAGAGCCCCGGTGCAGGCACAGGTTCGGCAAGCTCCCCCGGCTACATCGCTGGGCCATCAACGTCACCCGAGCCGGTGGAGGTTGTTTTTGCCCACTACGGTTCCTACTCCTTGAGGAACACGGCTGGCTCCAAGCCAACACTCAAGAGGACAACGAGGTCGTCTACACCGGGGCCTGTCCTTCACGAAGGGCCAGCCTTGACGGGCTGGCGGGCGTCTTCACATGGGCAGGGGATGGCAGGGGTGACTGGCCGTCTTCAAGCCGCATTCCAAGAAGCACTCAGTGACCCGGGCAGGGTTCGTGAGATCGCTCTTATCCCTCGGCCCGCTAGCAGCTTTGCAAGTTCGGGCCCAGACGATGCTGATGGAAACCCGGGACCTTTGAGGGCCTTGACTTTGGTGGACGCCGGGGCGAGGAAGCTCAAGCTTTCGGTGCAGAAGCTCAACAAGGACTGGACTTCCTTCGACCAGCTGGCATCGCTGAAGCAGGTGGTGGCTTCAGTGTCGGCTCCCCATGCCGACTTCAGCTTCTGGAAGTCGCAGACTCTGACCGCTTGGATGCCCACGCCGAGCACATCCGCTACGTGGCCCAGTCCGCGGATCAGTCCTGGTGGTTGATCTACAGGGCGGAGTGCAGGCTCCGGTCGTCTCAAAAGGAGCGTTTGCGAAGGGTCATCCATGAGAGATCCGAATACGCTGCAGCCTTCCGGGATTCCAAGTTTTGGACCCGCGACTTGGTTACGTCGGCGACCTTGTGGCTTTCGCAGAAGGGCTCGGCCAGCCAAGGGCAAGGAGGCGGGCGTCGTCCGGCGGGAGGCTTTGTGGGAGGACACCAACAAGAAGGGCAAGAAGCAGAAGAAGTACGAAGGAAGGGAGAAGAATTCACCGAAAAGAAGGGCAATTTTGGTCTCAAGGATCACACCCGAATTTATACCCACCCGCACGCTCCCGGGTGTGATCCCGGCACTCTTGAGTTTCCGGCCTTTGGCCTGAGGTCCGGCCGACTAGCAAGAGATGCGACTTTGCGACACACGTGTGAAAACAGAGGAAGTGTGCACCGATTTGAACGGTTTGGGGAGCGGTTAGGCAATTGTCGTAACAAACAGAAGCTTGCTGGTGTTGACATCCGACCGAGGCAATTGTGGACTCAAGGATCACACCCGAATTTATACCCACCCGGACGCTCCCGGGTGTGATCCCGGCATTCTTGAGTTTTCGGCTTCGGCCTGAGGTCCGGCCGACCGACTAGCAAAAGATGCGACTTTACGACCGACGTATGAAAACAAAGAGAGTGTGCACCGAGTCGAGTGGTGGTTTTTTCGGCAGCAGTTCGGCAGTTGTCGGTCGTTACGTGTGGGACCAGAAGCAGCTTTCCTCTGACTAGGACTCATGCCTCCGACCAGTCTTACAGGATTTGGCAAAGTAGGTGCAAAACGAAGCCAACATGCTCCCCCAAATGACGAGGAAGTGTGGCGTGCCTGGGAGTGTCGGAAAAGGCCGGGACGTCCCTCATGCAACGACCAAGATCGCCCCTTCGGTGCAGTTCTGTGTTTAGAGGCTTCGGGGGTTTAGGGGCATATTTGGAGCTGGTTATTCTGATGGTGACGACGGGTCACGGGCCCAATTGCATGGATGAAGAAGCTGCACCGCTCGGGCCGGAAGGTCCGAAGATTTTTACATACCAGTTGCCTATTACCAGCGGCCAATTCGAGCCGAGACCTTCAGCCCACATTGAACTTCGAAAAAGCTGTGCAAGGCCCTGCTTATGTTGGGCCCTGTTGCCGAGGTTCACGGCCGGGACGCAGGGCAGTGTGTTTGGAGGTGGCAGGCAGGCGCCATTCGCGTTTGGCGTGTGCTTGTTCATTGTTCAAACGGGGCGGGTTTGAAGCACGTGGGGTATTGTGAAGCTTGGTTTTGACCGACATACAGCCGAGGATACTAGAGCTAGGGTTTTCGCATTGAGTGCAGATGCTGGAAAAACGTGAGCTGATGTCCGTCCCATATCTCAAAGAATCGCTTCGAAATGTGTTGTATAGCATTGAACCCCGAAATCAGGGTGGAGGCACTTGAGGTTTTGGGGTTTGCAGCAAGCCGTAAATCTCAAGCCATGAGCTCTGAATTCCTCTGGGCAAACGAAGCCATTTTCCCAGCCTGTTTTGGGGGTTCCCTTCAGGTGAGCATTGGCGATGCCAGCGTGGGCCAGTTCTGTGGCGGAACGCTGATCGCGCCACGTTGGGTGATCCTCGGCTGGCCAAGAGGGACTTCGGGTTCCAGGTTGGAGCTTGAGACTGTTGCGACAAGTGGATCTCGAGACCCCAAGATTGACAGTTTGGGTTTAGGGGTATCTTTGGGATTTGTGGTCGCAGCGTGCCTGCAAGACTCACGTGAGCGAGTGGAAAGGAGTCTTGAGGGCCTTTCGGGGTTTCGGCACTGCGCTTGCAAGTTTTGGTCTGACACCGAGATCTATGTTTCTCTTGTGCCGCATTACTGGCATGCTTTCGCCGTAGTCTCTACAGTTTCAAGCCAATACACCAAGTCCTGAAGCTGCATCTTGGAAGCCCAACTCCTTGCTGCTTAGGCCCGGAGAGAGCCAGAAACATCCCTAAACCCCGTTCGGGCTCGTGTTCACCTGGAGTGCAGGTTGACAGCGGCGCACTGCATCTCCGACATCCGCAGTGCTGCTTGGCGTGTGTCCAGAGCCAACTACGAACGACCTTAGGGATTCGTTTGCTTTTGTTGCTGGAGGTGGTCGTTGGCCACTTAGTTGGCTCGGCAGGTAGGACAAACCGTGTCCAGTGCAAGCACACCGAAGTGGCCACGCAAAGGTCACCAAGGCCGCATACATCACTTAAGTACTTAAGTGTGGCAAGTCAATGGCCAAGAATTGGATGCAAGGAGATGCAGAACAAGGGAAGGCGGGTTCACCACCATCACATATGCAGCTTATTCCAGTGCATCCTTCTTGAAGTGTTCCCGTCGCATCGGAGCTTGCAAGCTAGATCCAAGCCAGTAGCGACGTGCGGAAGCTGCGTCGTCTTTTCAAGCTTGGAGACCCCAAACCACTACTGTAAACCCTGGACCCTAAAGCATTAAGCCAGGAGCCTGAAACCGTGCCACCCCGAAACGTGACCTGGAAGCTTCTTTCCGCACCCCCGAGGCCTGCAAAGTGCGTACTTTGAAGATCGGAGCCGGCACTTGGAAGCGTGATTTCCAGGCCCGGCGGGATCTTCTTCGATGTCTCCACAACTGATGCAATGTCTGACTTATCAGACTCTTAGGGCTTGTGGAGCTAGTGCCAGGAAGCGAACACACGCACGATGTGAAAGTGGGAGAGAGTGGAGGTGGAGTAGATGAGTAGATAGCTTTGCAGTGGTTCGGACTGTTGACATGCCTTAGTTTGAGAGTATCTGAGTGTCCGAGAAGTTCTGTCCAACAAGGCCAGGATCTCCGATGAGCCCCCGCACAGTCTGTTGTACCTGATATGCAAGTTTCGTGGATAGGATTCTTGTCTCTACCATCCAGGCTGTGAAGAGAGAGAACATGGACCTAGAACTGGTGCTGAGTGTCGGCTCGCACTTCATCATCATTGCCATTATCATCATTCCTCCAGAGCATCGCTGAGGCGTTCTCCATCACTGAGGGCTCCTGCGCAACTTGCATTTTTGACGACCTTCTGGAACGGATTGCCGTTGTGGTCGCGCGGGTTAATTACCGCGCCGTCGCCCGCCGCATGCGCTCTTACAGCGTCGATGCCTCCGCTGCATGCGCTCGATTGCTGCCGCTGCTCTGCTGCGTGACCTGGGTGATCCATGATGGGATCGCTTTCTTCGCTGCTCTTATCGCCCTCGTCGCTTTCTGAGTCCGCTCCGCTTGCGTTTTTGTAATTCGCCACCGCCTTCAGACGCAGGGACGTATGCTGCGGCCACGTGTCGCGACGACCGAGAGTTTCGCTTTCTTTGTCGTTCTGACCTGTAGGCGACTGCCACCGCCTCTTTTGTGCTTTGTACTCTAGCTAATTCGAGCAGTGCTCTGGTGCATTTTTGGACTCTTACATGTGCATCCCATCATCGTCGTCATCATCAGTATCATCATCAGTATCGTCATCAGTATCGTCATCGTCACCATATTGGTCATGATACAGACCTTAAAGTCCTTTCGAGGTTCCGCATCATTTGTTGTTTGAACACCTATTCGGCGACTAGCCCGAACTCTTCGAACCTCAGATCCCGGGTGTCTTGGAGGGCCTCAGAACGGAGGGCACCTGAAGCCCACGAACAGGCACAGTGTGCGGCAGGTGGAGGTGGATGCTGGCATGGGCGTCGAGCGCTTTGTGAAAAAGATCTTCCGGCATCCGATGCTGCTTGTCCGCGGACCTTCTTGCAATGCAGTCCCTTGGGTTGGAAGACCAATCCCTTGTGTGGAGGCGGTGGGCTTCATACTTGCGTTCATTAGTTCAGCTCGTCACCCAGCGAAGTTGGTCTCGCTACAGCCAAGCTTGCCGTGGACAGCATCGGGAAGAGCTGCCGGTGTTAGTCATCATGCCCCTAAGTATGATTTTGCTTGAGCTGCTCGTGGCACCCATTGGTTTTTCGTGACGTTGCCGCTGTGCATGCGGCTGCTGAGAAGCACCAGCGCTGTTCTTCGTGATGCTGGGTTTCTGAGTTTGTTAAGATGTGCAACCCGAGCAGTCACCGTGGGTGTTCCCTTGTTGGATTCGATTTCCTTTGTGCAGTTTACATGGTGTTGTGTCCCTCTATTGCAGTCCTGATCCGTCCTTTTGCCCTAAGCCCCGGGGCCGCTCGAAATCAGTTCATGTTTGTAGAACCCTTTGCTGAACTGCACCGACCTCAAACCCAGGTACGAACAGAACGTCGCGAACGACTACGACTTCGCTTTGCTGCACCTTGACAAGGCATCTGCCTGCTTCACTTCCGTCGGGGTCCTTGGAAGCTTCCACGGCGTTGCTCCGTCAACACATCTCGACACACATGGTGTTGTGGAATGTCCAGAGTTCGCGTTTTTTTTTCGGTTGTGTTCTGATCAAGTATTCAGCTTGAGGGTCCTCGAGAGAAAAGGCCTTGCACCCAAGCAGCGACCAGCGACCACAACGTTTGCAACCCAAGCTTTGATCCTGCATCAAAATCATGTTAGAGCATTAGCAGGCTTGTCATTTTTTGCTGCCACCTGTACCCTTCTCCCTGAAAAGGCGGTTCCGCTGAATGAGTGCATTGGAACGGCCTGCTTGCCCACGGCGGAGGGCGAGGGGGGGACGGAGTGTGGCTCGACTGCGACTCATGTAAACACTTGAAACTTCTACACCCGACGCGGCTTAGATCATTTGTGCGCAACAGTAGATTGTTGCCGAGCGTCAAGCCCAGAAGTCCCCAGGGCCGACAGAAAGCTGCTGCTTCGTTGAAGCAACCATGGCTGCCATGCAGATTTTCTGAGCCTTACGTGAGACTGCGACATACTGGGAACTCTGGCACGGAACATGCGGCTTCCGGCCGATTGTAAGAGGTTTGAGGGCCGTAGCATGTGTTACCCAACACCCGTTTGCAAGGACGGCTTGGAAGGCTGCAAGGTTTCACTTCTGGCGTCCCCTTGCGCTTCTTCTTCTCCAGAAGCCCTCGGTTTCTATTTGGCGTTGCGTGATCGAGCAGCTGCACGTCACACTTTGAGTTTCAGGTCGCATCACAGGCTGGGGCACCCTTCGCACCTCCGGGCCCACCCCGGACGTGCTGCAGGACGGAGAAGAAGCCCTTCTCGGATCAAGCTTCAATGAGCGAGATTGGGTTTTGGTGCAATCTTCCACATCCAGAGGAAAACCAACTACTACCGGTTGCGCGCCGTGGAACCTCAAGCCCACATCTTGTAAACGCCGACCGACAACCTTTGACAGGAGGCGCCTGTCTCTCTCCTCAGCAGCACCTTGATCCTCAGGAGAAGGTTCCAGGTTTGGAGATGCACAGGTGCAGGGATTTCGGGTTCATGTGTTCAGCTTGCAGGAGCTTTGGGGCTTCGGGCTTCGGGCTTCAGGCACAGTCCACGTGAAGAGCTTTGGGCTGGCTAATTCGGAGGTTCGAAGCACACTTCTTGACCAGTGTGAGTACTTGTGTGCAGAAAGAAGTGAGCCTGCACACAAGCGCATTGAGCAGTGTGCATGAGAGACAATTCTCGTTGTGTTAACCACCTGACTCTTGCATCAGTGCGTTCCGGAAGCTTGGTCTGCAGTGGCCTTTCAACTACGAGAAAATCCAGAAAGCACGGCGCGCACATTCTGGAGTCTATAGCAGCAGCGAGCGAGGCAAGGTGTGCGAGACAAACTACTCCAAGACGAAGGACTCGGTGGGTCAGTTGCGGAGACGACCTCGTTGCGATGCTGATCAACCAGGGCTGTGCATCATGCATGAGATGGCAGAATCGAGTTTTTGTTCATAGGGGTCGAGTGTAGCTGTTCCGCTGCCGCTGCGAATAGTGAGCGGCGACACTAGACTTCCTGGCGGCTTGGAAGAAGAAGACTAGATAGACGCGTAGACATGCAACTCATATCGGTGACTTCCCTGCTCAGCTGAACCCTAGCAAGCCCGGCCAAAAGTCCAACTTTATTGAACTTCCAAAGCTTCTCTTTTCAGCTCCTCCATGGCAGGACGTAATCACTGGGCCAGGGCCCCAGTCAGAGAGCACCTGAGCACCTTGCAGACTTGATGCCGCATTGATGCCTGATGGCGTAAACGGGCCTTGGTGTGCCGTCGTCGAGAGGTCCATGCTCTGCGCGTCCGGCCGCACCGACGGTGGTGTCACAGATACGTGCCAAGGCGACAGCGGAGGCCGCAGGGAGTGTTTCTCTTTCGGTTTTGTCTCGGTACAGTATGGGCTGTTTGTCTGTTGAAGTTTTAGGCGGGATTTGGATTCAACGAAGGTTCAAGCAGACGGTTCTTTTGGTTGTGGGGTTGAGGGAAGTGCGAGCAGGAAAGATGTGCTGACGGTTTCTCAAAGGGGCCTTCAAACACCTCCAGGAGTTCCGACAAAGGTGCGCCAGTGTGCATCCTGAAAGTAAGTTTGAGGCAGGAAGCCATTAACACCCTTCCCGGATGTTAAAGAGGCTTTCGAGCTGGTGCTAGAAGGATTTTGGCGAGTGTTCCGGTCTTTCATGGCGGCAGGCGTGAGGCGTGAGGCCAGGGGGAATGGACTTCTTGTTTGCGGGGATGTTTGGGGTCTCGCTGATTCTTTCAACGTGGAATTTTTCACGGAGGTTTGTCTGCCTTTCGGCGTTTTGGCATGCGGCGTTGTCCTGGTCTGGGATGTGGGAAGTAGTGGCTTCCCAGAGACACGGACGGGGCCCGGCCTTCCACAGAACTCGGTGTCACGAAGACATCCACGGGCGTGTTGAAGTTTGTGCACGGCCTGCTGCACGGCCTGCTGCCCCTCCCAAGACATCGTGCCAGAAATTCCTTTTCAGTAGATTCCCGAACTCTTTCGCAGCGTGATCTCCCGCCGAGCAGTAGACTCAGTAGACCCTGAGTCATCAACACTCCTACAGCATTGAAAGATCGACAACCTACGAAGCTTGGGCGAATTGTGGCCAGGACCGCTGGTGTGCGAAGAAGAAGGCCGCTTTGTGCTCCGGGGAGCGCCTGGGCTCATTCTCGGTTTGTCATTCTATTGCCTTCCGTTTTCGCCGACGTCATCCCTCTGGATTTATTACTGCTCGTTACATTGTTTTGCTCGGCTGGCGGATTGATTGACATATTCATATTCTGTTATGTTTACGTCATGTCTGTCGGAGGCGGTTGGTTAGTGTTGGCTACAGGCGCTGCCGATGCCGCTGCTGCTGCGGCTGCTGCCTCTGCTCTTGCTGTTGCTGCTGACGCTGCCGCCGCTGTCGCTGCTGGTGGTGGTGGTGGCGCTGCTGTTGCTGCTGCTGTTGCTGTGATCGTCGTTGTCTTTGCATGACAGCTTCCGACATTGTCTAGGCCTATGCGGCTGTCTTTCTCCAGGCAGGCAGCCCTCAACTTGCAACAGTCTGCTTTGCTGAGGTCACGTCCTGGGGTCAGGGCTGCGCATATCCCAACTTTCCCGGCGTGCCCTGGCTGCGATTCCTGCTTGCAGCGGGGTGTTGTGTGGACAGGCCAGTAAGGCAGAAATGTTGTCCTGTCGTGCATTCCTGCACTCGAACGAGCCGATGATTGGGGATTTGCGGCTGGCTTTAGTCAGCCTCGTGGGCCATGCGGTAGCCGTTGAGGGCCGTGGAGGGTTCATGGTTCGGGCTTTAGAAAGTCGAGGTTCTTGGTTTCAGGTAGAACAGGCCTCTTAACTTCAAGCCCGAAGCCGGAGTCTAAGGCCAGAAAGCCCCCAAACTCCAAACCACACGAAGTAAGGAGTTCTGTTTCACCGAAGCTCTTGCACGTCTTAACTCTTTCAGGTCTACGGCCGCGTGCACAGTGTCATGTCCTGGATCCGGGATGCTGCTGGGCTGCGGTACTGGATGAGTCGCACTCCAACCCAAGAACCCAGGCACAAGATGAGCAAACTTGAGCCCCCAGACGCAGGATCCAAAAACCTCAACACAAAGCCCCAAAATCAAAGTCCCTTTGGATCAAAGATGTTGGTGGCTTTGCGGTTTCGGGGAAGCCTTGGGTATTGCTTGCCCGCACCACCAGTACTATGACCACACAGCAACTGCATCACGTCACCACGGATGCTAAACTGCTAAACCATCAATCCTTGCAAACCCTCAGCGCCCAAACAGACTTGCCCCCAGCACTGAAAACCGAAGGTCATGTCGGACAAAGTGGAGAAGGCTTACGTAGACGACGAGGATATGGCAGTCCTAATTCTGCCTGCGCACCGCCACGCACATGACTTACTGCTTGTAGTACCTTGAGCCGGTTGAGCCATGGAAGTGCAAATGTGCGCTGGCCACGGATTCTGAGTGCTTTTTTCCCACCGGAGCTGCCCAACCAGCAAATCCAAGAGACGTGCAGCCATTGCAATCTTAAGTCCTGATGCAACCAGGACCCAGACATCTCACATATCAATTTCCAGGGTGCCATGTGGTACGCGGCTTGCTCAGCTTCCCGCGGAGACAGGATCCCGAAAGTATTGAGTTACTAAGCTACATGTGGGGATGCTTCTACAGAATTCAAGGTGATACAGACTTGTGTTCCTGGACGGCATCCTGAGTTGCGGGGGTACTGACTGTTGTACGTACAACATTGTCACGTTGTCAGTGTCTTATTAGAAGTTAGAGCGAAGCAAAGTCTATGTTTTGGATCTTTGTTTTCTATTGTAATGCACGAACAAGGTGCGAACAGCACGAATTGAACATACATGAAAAAACCAAGAAATGAGCCAACATGGGTTACCGTTTGGAAAAGAACCTGTTATCCTTGGCCACTGCGACCCACAAATCAAGTGTTAACCGACGATGAATGAGCGGTGATTGGTTGGTGGCAAAAGGGAAAATTACTTGAACAAAGAAAGGCACAAGTTGAACGAAGTGGGCGTGTGGTTGTTGCTTTGTTCCACGTTACTAAGTTATTTCACCCCTTTTACGGTTACATATTCGTAAAACCTACATTTAATTGTAAGATATCCTGTAATGGGGAAATAGGTTTAGCTTGTGAGCTGTAATCAAGTAGTAAGTTTGTAGGGTATATATTGTTGCGATATGTTTCCTTCTTTTTCTCTCGCTTCGGTCTCTCTTCTTTCATGCTCACTTGTTCTGAGATATCAGCAGCGTCTCAAGCCGTTCTACAATTGCGGCACTTGCGGAGAATACAACAAGCTGCTTCGAGGTGGTCAGCGGCCCATGTCGTGTAGATGCGGAGAAGTGCCTCACGAGCCGCATGGGCTGAAGTCAACGGGATGGCGCTTGGGCTTTGCGATGCTTTGTGTCTTTGGATCTTGGTTTCGAGGAGAGGGGCCGGGCAGAAGGGCGGAAACAAGGGCCATTGGCTTGCTCTGTTCGGCAGTTCACGAAGCATGCATGGTTTGGGGGCGGAGAAATCTGATCACATCCCGAACTTAACTTTCCCAAGAAAACTTGTCGGTGTGGTATCAGCTCCTAGGAACACTCAGCCGCCGCGAAGCCCAGAGATTCAGGTCCTGGGTATCCCGGTGCCTATGGCCATGCCCAGTCCTGCAAAATTGCGGTGGCTTCTCGGCCTTTGACTTTACGATCTCGCCGGATTCGAACACGGGTCGTCAGTTGCACGGCGGCTGTGGATTCATGTTTCGAGTTTCTGGATTTAGCCTCGAGTGTTGTTCAAGAAGCCTAATCGCCCTGCCCGTAAAATCCGTCAACCCATCATCCCTGGTGCAAGCCCGTGAAAGCTCCAAATCCAACAGCCCTTCAAAACATGAACACTGCGAGAACCTCTGCAAAGGACCCTTCTGCAGCAAAGCCCATACGGGTGGATAGCTTCGCCACAGAGGACCCATTCGTCACGGGGCATCGGCCTTGAGAGCTCCGTCCTGCTTTTTGCGGTTCCTCTTTGTCCTGGCCTTTGCTCCCAAACTCTCCCAAAGCGAAGGAGGGAGGAGACTGCTTCAGTTGCACTGATTACACTGCTACGCTGATAGGCAGTTTCGGTTTCAGACGACCTGCTTCGTCGTCAAACGAAAGGCTTGATAGTCGAGGTAACAGCAGCCCTGGTAATTAATGCTGCCAATGCTCCATTAGTTGTACAGCAGAGGGGTTGTAAGCTTGTTTGCCGATCCATCGATATTCACATCCTACAAGCACAGAGAGCCAACGGGCTGATGCACAGAGACCTCCTCGCGTTCACATTTTCAAGCGGAAGCATTTTCCCTTGCTTGAAGCCTGAAGCAAGGAGTACTACGATGTGCTCCAGATCAACTGCCGGACATTCTCCGGTACCCTGGGGCCTAACGGGACGCCTGATCCAACTGAGCATTGCGAGCTTTTGTGGCTAAGCACCGGGTTAAGTAAGGATGGCGCTGGTGCGATGATGAGAGCAGTGTTGATATCGCTGATAGATGACGAGAGCAGCGAGTCCGCTAGTGAAAAAACATGACTCGGCAGCTCGAACCCGACAGCTACATCTCACTCCCAGGACCCTGCCGCAGTCGACGATCGTTTGGTCTTCCGACGAGACGAATACGGAAGCTCGGCGAGACTTCAGAAATGGGTGCTGGACGGGTGGGCGATAGTTGCGACTGCTTTTCTTGAATTTCCAGGTGTTTTAGTCAACTGAACCCAAGCTCTACACGCGTCTATCCGTGAGCCCTGGATTCATGTGTGAAGACGCAGACCAGTGCTAAACAGAAGATGCACATTCAAAGAATCCGTTTTAGAAAGGTCATTGTTTCCAAAGCATGCAGCAACCCAACCTGCAACCACTCCAGACACTTAATCTGTCCTCCTCTCGTTGCGGTTCTGAAAGGGCAGTGGCTGGCGGCTGTGTCCGGAGACGTAAGCGCACGCGGCGTTTGCGACTTAGAGTGATAGGTCTCAGCCATTCGGAGGCTTTCGTCGAAAAGCTAACTGCCACGAGCCTTAAGCCCTAGGCCTCAAGTAGCACGGTGCACCAAGCGAGTGTACTGCATCACGCAGCACGCCATGGCGCTCCTGTCGTGGCTGTGGCAAAAAACTCACGACAGCCTGGGACATAGGATAGCAGCATTAGGGCTTTCGGATCTAGCAGCATTAGAGCTTCAACTAGCAGCTCCGAGAAGTTCTCGAACAGCCTCCGATCCAATTCAGTGCATGCGTCTTGTGCGAGGATTTCGGAAGAGCCAGGAGGTGTGAAGTTGCGCCGGCACAGGGTCCCCAGCAACAGGCGTGTCAAGCACTCTTAAGTCAAGAGCTCGATGGTGAAAATTACATGAAACAATTAAGGTCCAATCTGTGCTGAGCGTAATCAGGATGATTGCAGAGCTGTAAAGCATGTTCATAATGCCTGCGCAGCAAAATCTCAGAATAATCATTCTGATGCATTCAGAAGGATTCAAATCACTAATATCGTCTTTACATTTTTTGTGATGGTGGTTGTGAAGCATTGGTCGTTGCACTCTGCAAGAGCATGTGGTCATCAGAAGTACACACCGAAGGTCTTGTTATTGGTTCGAAACGACAGTTACACTGGCGGTGCTTTTGGTGGGAGCCCCGCCGTGCGCTTCCTCCGTCAAGTCTTTTGCGCACCTAGCCAGCCTTGACAGGGGCATCGTCTACAAAGGCTCAGGTTCCCCGATGCCGCACGCCCTTGCAAGCCTGTTACTAGTAGCGACATGTTGAGCCCACAAACAGAAACAAGATCTGCCCCTGAGAGGTTAAGGGTTTTGATGTGTCAAGGGTAAGGATTCATGGGCTCCAAGTTTTGATAAGAGGTATGCCATTAGACACTAGAAAAAGGCATGCGCAGTCGGGCGTTGAAGAACAAAGCTTCTTGTGCTCGTAGAAAGGAGTTGGAGCTTCGTTTGAAATCGCAAGCAGGATGTAAGTGTACGACTTTCAAGACCGATCCGTTCCTTCGGGCCATAGAAACACTCATCTGCACTTGCAGCGCACGTGAACCTCTGAGTGTTTTGGAGCACTTGGGATGTGCCGACGATTGAAGACGAGTAACTTCTCGGCTCTGCAATGTACCAACATGAGTTCCACAGACCTAAACGTTGAAGCATACACCACAGAGGTGTCGAAAACCAAAGTGTCTTTGCAGGGGTAAGCGGAGGGCCCTCATTGATAGATGTGTCCCTTTGTACAGTCCGAACTCAACGGCCGTTAGAAGTTTGGGGCGCACAAGGCGCAACCTGCTGGCCGGGGTGCGAGGTAAAACGCGGTGGTTTGATTAGGATGAGGGCTGATGAGAGTCTTTAGGGTTATTTGACTAAGTGTCCTGGAAACTGTGCTTACTGCTCCAGGGTTTTTGAGACTGCGGTCCCCAGGCTTCACTTTCATTGCAGAACTTTCAGCAGTGGGACTTCATGGTCGAACGCCTGCTTTTGCAATCCAACCTGAGAATGTGGGGGGCTTGGTCAAGCGTGCGATTAAATCCAAATACCCCCCCCCGGTTTTCAGCAAAGACAGATTTAAGCAAGGGAATCCGGCCTCCAAGCGCAGAGCGAGACGGGACCCAGTCGATGAGTGCAGGGTGTTCGGTTGCAGTTTGCGGGATGTCAAAGTCCAGTCCACTCCTTGGCAAAGAAGGTCTTGAGTGCCCAAACCACTCTTACCCTCGCTTGAAACCCGCAAGCCCTCGAAATCCTAGTCTCCACCGAGTCTTCAAACGCTCCTCACGCCTTCGCAGGCTTCCTGACAGAAAGGCCGAGTGTTCTGGTGAAGCTTTGTGGGCAAGGGGTTGGGACATGCCATGTAATTGTCGAGACAAGCGTGGGTCTGCAGTAACGATGATAAAGTCGTCACCCGACAACTTTCACGAAGAAAGCACAAGAACTGAGAATCGCAGGTCGTAACAAGAGCATCAGCGTGGATTCACATCAGCAGCAACAGAACTGAAACTACTTGCATGTCTACAATACTAGTACTGACACTCTGATATTGTGTTGTTGCTAGCACTATTCTGCTACCACTACCCTCGCTACGGCCACTGCGGCTGTCGGGTGCAGGACTGGTTGTCTCATACAAGCCGGTTTGTTGCAGAATGGCAGGCAGTACCTGTCTTGTAGCCGCAAGTACATGTCGTCGGGGTGATCATGATTATGACCATAGCCTCCCCATCACTGTCATCAGCTTCCTCGCTATCGTCAGAACCACCAATCGCACCGTCATCTGCCAACCTTTAAGTGGCCACCTCGAGGTTTCGTGGTATGTCAAGAGCACTGTGCCCATGTCTGAGTGTGTCTGCGCTGACAGTATATATACTGCATGCTGTACCATCTTGCCCGAAATGACATTAGTGCTTCATGTCCATTTCTGGAAGTAGCTGTGAAAGGGTTCGCATACACGGAGTGTGTTGCCTGCGACAAAAGGACAAGTCACAAGCGGAGAACGCTGCTGCACCTCCGTAGGATTTGGCTTTATCAGGGAGCAGAGAAAACGTGGCGTGCACCCCGCTTAATTTAAGTGTTAAGCTTCGCCATGTCGTTTGCGGGTGAGCCTGAGCTCAATCTATCCCGACAGTCTCTGCCGTTGATTTTGCCTCTGCCTTGCAGCCTTGGAGTCCAAAGTCTGACATTCCAGATCGTGGAAGGCCGAAGCCAAGTACCCTGCCCAAGAACCAGAAGCACAGACCCGATGCCACTAACGCCTTCCACCACACGTCGTACTGGAATTTCATAATGCAGCCCAACGTGATATAAGTGACCACGGCTCCAGGATGTCAGCAACATACCTAATATAGCAGTTCACACGCCAAGAAATCTCATCTACCGGCGACTACCTTTGTTTGGATTTCGGGTTGATTCCTTTCTCGGGTCATTTGAGTCAATGTCGTTGGCAAACGGGTCATACCACTACTGCGGATTTTTTCGGGTGCAAAAGCTTGTGCCTTCCGCATCTTTCTGTTATGCGCGCCATGTCCGAAATATCCCTTAGCCTCAGGACGGACAGCTGGTGCGGGTCACCCGGACGTTTCTGGAAGTTGTTGACATTGCCGCTGGGCTGTCGCAGGTATTCGGCTGGTGGTGACTGACGGGTTTCTGGTGCTGGCAAAGGGGCCGTGACTTCACTCAGACTCCACGCGTTCATGTGTCTCCCAGGTTCAGGGCAGCGACATGGGTGGTGCTGTTGCCTGCCGGAGTCGAACCATGTCCCTCGACCGCGCTTGGTTTCACTGGCGGCCCTCCCAAGCACGCGAAGCTTGGATTGGTGCCTGATCAATTTTTCGACGACCGGCGAGGGAAGTAAATGTGGAATTTCGCAATTCAGGGCTCCGGGCTCTGGACTTTGTTCCAAGCTTGATCGCTGCAGCCCACACTGCGAACATACCCAAACCTCAAGCCCAAGTTGAAGACTGCTTCTCATGCAAGCCAGCAGTCTTGAAGGCCATCGCTTCCCAGCCTGGGGCTTGACTTCGAGGAGGGGGCAACCGTCTTGCAGTTCTGGATTCTTGTGAAGTTTGGCAGGGTTTTCGCATGTGTACCAGGGCTTCGGAAACCAAGATTCTCGTTTTGGTTAGTGCCGGCTTTGAGAGCTGGCGTTCTCTGTTTGGTTTCGTGGTTGGGGATTGGCATCGGGAGAACCCACGGCCGAGAACACCGCGGCAGTAAAATCCACATGTGTTTTCCGGTTCCGCAGCCATTATTGCTACCGTTGACACGAAAACACATCGCCTGTACATACTCTCCAACAGTGCTTCACACGAAACTGACGCATTTCTTTTGTGCATGTCCTTCGCCTTTAGTGGCGTCAGGGGGGGGTCGCTGATTTAGAGGGTGTTCGCGGAACGCTGGCGCCAGGCCTCGTCAACGGAGAAGGATGAGCCCGCAGCGGGCCCCGCTCTTCTGGCACAGCCGAGCTCCGAGGAGCACCGGCCGGCCACTCGCCAGGCTTTTCACACACCGGATGGAATCCTAAGCCCCGAAGAACTAAGCCGAAATCTTCCATGATTTTTGCGCCCGCAACGTCAAAAACTCTTTATCCGTCCAGCGCTCTGAACTGATATGGGCCTCCTCCGCCTTCCCCAGATCGTGACACTCTCCGTCCGACACATCCCACCAAACATTCGCGTCGACAGCGCTTTGGCTGCGTAGTCACCAGTTGAAAGGATCTGCGAGCCTTCCGTGGCCGAGGCTAGCAGGGACGCAGGGCTTCTCAAAGAAGTAGTTACAATACCGGCGGAGATAGGACACACACGATCACATGACGATTGTCACTATTGTTCTTTGATTCGGGGCTGATGCTTTCAAAAAAACCAACCCACACGTGTTTTTGGCACCAACCCTAGAGTTGCGCTGTTTCGCGACAGGCCTCGACGTGTCGGGAATCCTTCGACAAAGCTCGCAGTCCCGGTAGATAGCCCAAGCTCCAAGCTCTCTTCTCTCAGGATCAAGAGCAGCGGCTCACCGTGCGTGTGGTGCGAACATTCCTGGAATTCGTTCCTGATGCCCCCGGCCTTGATCAGCTCGAGGCATGTTGAACCACCCAAGCACCTTTCAATTTTACCAGATCTTGCCAACCAATCGAAGCACCCTTTCTGCCCGATCCGTGGTGAAGCCTCCCAAACCACACGGTCTGTCTGCCAATTCGAGCTAGCAGCATTGTTCTACTCTGCCACCTCGCTGTGTTCGGGGTACTTGTCGAAAAGCCCCGCGGCTGTGCGTGTTTTGACGGTGCATTCTTGGGTTGCTGAGGCTTTAGGCTAACAGCAGAATCCTCAGGGTTGAGGCAGTCAAATTTCTAGTGATTCTAGTGTAATGGTTCCGTTTCCAAGTTTAGAGCTCGGGGTGAAAGTTGTTTACGATTTCAGAGTTTCAGGGCCCGTGTCCTTTGTTCTTCACAATCCCCAGCTTCAACATAGGACACCGACGCCCAGAACGCGAAATGCCCGAATGAAGCCCCGCAAGCCCAGGCGACCGACGACGACAAGAGAGTAAACGAACCGCTGCAGAGCGTGACCATGTTGCTTGGTGCAGTTGACATCCGTCGGAGTCGAAGTCGAAGCATGTCGAAGCGATCTTGTGGTAGTAGCAGTCTGAGTACTAGCAGAGGTAAGTGCTTCGTTGTCAAGACCCACAGCATGAAGGCTGTCGTTGTTGCTGATGGTGTCTCGCGAAAATTTGGTCGCTGAAGGCCCGTGCTTCCGTACCTCGGGTTTGACCTCGAGGGGGAGGAGGAGGCAACGTCGAGTTTCGAGTTGAGGATCGAAATGGTCGGGCTTCATGTTGGTAGGGCGTTGGGGACTTGGCGTTTCCATTGTTGCGTAGCGTACGTGTGTGCGAAGTACCACATGCCAACAGCGTTGCCGCCGCCAGCACTCGGGCTCGAAGATTTTCAGCTTGGTTGCCTCAGTGCTAGATCCTCCCTTCGGCGCCATTGTCGTCCCAGACTCCAGCGGCGGCGATCCCCAAGGAGAAACAGGCTGCGATGGTGGTCCAGCCCCGGCGATAAGCTCTGCAGGATCATCTGACCTGTTCGGTGCCCGCAAACCCTGACCGAGGACTCGGCCCACGACCCGGCTGCTGAGTGCGTGGGCGACCACGTGCGTCATCATGACGTCCTCCGTGTATTGCAGCCTTGAGCAGCGTTGCGGCAACTAGTGGCACACCACGGCGCCTAGAGTCAAAACAGACTCACGCAAAGCTGAAGCATGCCGGTGCAGGGCTCTAGGTTTGGACCAAAGCTTAACAAAGCATAAGGAAGAGAAAGCTTGCATCAAGCATATCGCCGATCCAAGCAAGCAACAGCATTGTCAGCAGATGCGATTCCATATGCCCGGGGCCAGGAACTGGGCCAAACAAACCAACACAGACCCAAAACATCGGAGCAACTCTCACCAGTTTGAGCGGCCTCACATGTAAACTTGAGGACCAACCTGAGCCGGACATCCTGAGACTGTAATACTTCAAGCAACTTAGACTTTGCTAGCATCAGCCTGCTCTGGGAAGCGCTGGGATGCTGTGTGCAAGGCCACATTTTCACCCTAAAGCTAGGGCCGTGAAACAAGACATGAACGCTGTGCACATGAAACAGTCTTCACGATGCACATGCAATCGAAGGTGACGTCACACGGCTTCCAGGCGAGATCCCTGCCGGATTTGCTGTGCTGTCCAGTTCTTGTGTGGCGGCACGACCTTGACCAGATTCGGTGCGGTGGTGAAAGAAGTGCGTTTATTCGTCGAAAACCTCGCCAAGAAGTCCCAGACCTGGTTGGCGCCTGTCGTCAGTCGGCGCGACGTGCTCTGCGCAAGGTATGCCGGCTCCGGCTCTGCGGCAGCTGCTTCGGGGGCTGCTGCTCCTCGCGGTTTTCTTCACCAAGGCCTCAATCGCAGGCACACGCACGTGCGCTGCTCCACTTAAGTACCGACGAGAAGATCTTGACACAGATTCGGCGAGCCCTCGGCGACGACAGCTTGCCATTTGACGAGGCCCCCAAACTGGCCGGAAGGGTTTCCCTTCTGCGCGGTAGCACATGCAGCGGCAAGGCCGTCCAACGATCATCGGGAAAGTTGACAACACGGCGGGTCAAGCGGCACTTTAAAAAGGCTACACCGGCGATACGGCAAAGACCCGGTGGTGGACACGCCAGGGATGGCTCGTCGAGTTCGAACGTTTCCAGTCGCGGATGCTGTTTCCCGCGACCCGCGACGACAAAAGTGGAAAGAGCACGGCGTTAAAGCCGTGCTCGTGCCCACAGTCCAGTCGAAGCGATCTTGGGAAACACGCCCGGGTGTCACGAGCTTCTTTCTACATCGTTTTGCTGCACAGCGCTTCCACATCTGAGCCGGCGTGTTTTTGGGTGTGGGTGCGCTCGGGCAAGTGCATAATGCGCCCTAGGCATTCCTGGTGCACGTTTGGTTCGTCCCAAAACGGCGTGAAACAAAGCTTTAGCCGAACGACGAACAACCGTCGCAGACAGTACGGTCAACGTCGGATCGAGCGCAGCATGTGTTTTTTCGGCACGAGTACGGCAGTAAGGCTAAAGAGCGCGATCACGATCGAGTTGTTGAGGGACCCTTGTGGGAGCGGATTCATCGATATCATGTGCATAACACGATGTTGATCTGGCGTATCACGACGGCGTGGTTGGCAGTGTCGGTCATGGTTTTGCATTCTACGAATTTCAAGGGATTCAGGCTAGGTAAATGTAACGGACGCATTTTTTGCATGTCCTTCTTACGTTCAAACAAGGCATGGACGACAACTTTTCAGGGCTTTGGGGCCTGCTGTTTTGGTAGGCTGTTCACGCCAGGCTTCGTCACGGGAGGAGGAGGACGAGCCCGCAGCGGGCCCCGCTGTTCTGGCACAGCCGAGCTCCAAACAGGCCACGTGCCACGCTGCTTGATGGACCAAAGATTAATCCCATGCCAGGAACCGGCCTGATCAGCAAGCTGGTGAGACCAGCAAATAAGGTTCAAGGCCTGTTATTGCACTAGCCTGGACGCTGCATTCCAAAACCTGCAGAGAGCTGTCAACGTGTCCGTTGTAAACCCACCGTGAGTTTGCATTTATCGCTCGCATAGTTTGGAGAGGATCATGGTTCGCTTTCTTACGCGATGTATCATGCTGGTTTCGATGAGTCGGGAATCCTTCGATAAAGTTCGCAGTCCCAGCAGATAGCCCAACCTCCACGCTCTCATCTCTCAGGATGAAGATCATCGGCTCACCGTGCGTGTGGTGCGGACATTCTTGGAATTGGTTTCTGATGCCCCTGGCCTTGATCAGCTCGAGGGATTTTAAACTGTGATTGCAGTATGTCGTAGTATGCACAAGCCACAAGCCTTGCACTCGGGATGACGGTCGAGGGTGATACAGCTTGTACGCGAAGGGTTCTGGTCGGAATTAGGGGTCTGTATTTCAAGCTTCCTCGATTCTGTCTTGGGCGCGAAATTTGTTGTTTTGGGTGTGTGTGTGTGTGTGTGTATGTGCGTGACTGTTTTTCCAATCTTGGCATGTCTTCTTCACAACTTGTTAAGCAACTCCCCCACAAAGCATCCCAGGCCAGGCAACCTTCCCAATTGAGCGGGAAAGACTTGCGGGTTCCCTGTTCATAGGTGGTGGCATCATTTTTTCGAGCTCGGAATTGCGGTTTCAGCTTGTGTGGACGTTGGAACTTGCAGTGGAGAGGCATCGTGCTAAGCCCCGAGGCCGGGAGAGTCGAGAATCTTCGTCGGTCAGTGAATGTGCTTCACGCTCGCAAGCCCTGAGCTCGCATGCATGCAGCAGTAAAACCACATCAGCCAGCAGTGGCTAGAACGGTGCTACACCCCAAATCCCAGGTGACCGATAATGATGAGATTGCCAACGAACGGCTGAAGAGCATGACTATGTTGCTTGGCTTTGGATAGTGGCAGCAGCAGCATGTGGCAGGGGCAGTAGCGACGGCAGTGGCAGTGACACCACAGTGGTGGTAGTGGCGGTGTCAGCGGTGGTAGTTGTCGCCGCCGTCGTAGTCCCAGTCGTCGTTATAGTCGTAGTGGTAGTCGTAGTCGTCGCGGTGGTGGTGGTGGTGGTGGTGGTGGTGCTGGTGATGGTATTCGTCGTCACAGCAGCTGTGGCGGCTGTCGTGGTGGCGGTAGCAGTAGCAGTCGTAGTGTGGCAGTGGCACAGGAGTGGTGGGAACTACAGTAGTAGTCATTCCTGTGTTTCAATTTTCTTACGTGGGGGTTGTTGGGGGGTGGCAGTAGTGGCGGCGATGGGGGTGGTGGTCGTCGTCGTTGTGATTCTTGTTATTGCTGTGGTTGTTGCTGGTTGTTATGGTCTGAGAGTCGCCGGAAAGTGTGGTGCTGCAGGCCCCTGCTTCCCATCCTCAAAGAAGTCGAGGAGGAGGAGGCAAACCTGGGGCCGCAACCCAGTCTTGGGGGAGGGTTCGTCGCTTGTGTTTTTGTTGCTGCAGGCTTCGAGTTTTTGGTATATGAGTTTCGCGCCCTGTAAGTCAACATGTTGTTCTGCAAATACTGTTTTGGCTCGGTCCCTGAATCAGCTTTTGGAACGTGCCAACAGGCTTGTATTTAATGTAGCACGGTGACGGTTGGAACACAGCCTTGATCATATTCCGCCCCACCCTGAAGCCCTGAGCCTGGGCCTCCTCACGAATGCCCGGACAGCCACGTACGTTTGCGGCCAGATTCGGATATTGGGGCTCTAGAGTCTAGAACTCTATGCCTCTCAAAGTGCCGGTAGGGAAGACTCCTCACTGGCCCCCTGGATCTTCCTCGGCTATTGAATGTTGAGGGCGCTTTGAAGGATGTAGAGGCGCGGCTCGGTTGGGGCCGGGCCGTCCAGTCCAGCAATGACAATCCTTCGAGGACTGCTTGTCGGCGCGGATCTTTCGATCAAATTTGCCAGTACCAGGATCCTGTAGCCGGCGCATCGTCGTGATGTGTCCATGCCAAGCTCACAAGTCAAGCATCAAGCATCAGCATCCTTCAGCGGCTCCTGGCTGACGAAACTGATCGACATTGTAAGGCCCTGATCACGGAAACTTGTTGACGTAGAGGTCAATGCTTCCAAACATATGTCCGCGTGCTTCACACGAAGCATTTTGTGCATGTCGTTCTTGTTTTTGGAGAAGGGACGATAGCTTTGAGGGCTCTGGGGCCCGCTGATTTCGGAGGCTGTTCTCGGAACGCAGACGCCAGGCTTCGTCAAGCGAGAAGAAGGACGAGCCCGCAGCGGGCCCTGCTGTTCCGTCATGGCCGAGCTCCGGGGGAGCACCAGAGCGGGCCACTCGCCGCCCACGGCCCACACTCGTCTCTCGAGATATGGAAGGGCTGTCGGCGTGACGGTTTTGAGGCTTATTTGAGGGGAGACTGCTCCAGCAGGTGTGTTGCAGATCGAGTCTTGAAAAACACACCCGCGCTACCAAGCTATCCGGCCAGCACATGTGTGTCAGCCCGCATTTCGAAGCTTAACTAGCGTCTAGGCCTAGGCTCTTCAACCTTAGGCCCACCAGATTCTTCTGCTGGCTTCGGAGGGTGTTGCAGCGTGGGATCTCGGTGGACAGGGAACTAGACGTGGAGGTGGATGGTTCCAAGAGGCCCCAACTTCCCATTCTGAAACGGAAGACAAGGAGCTGGAAAGCCGGCTGATGATGCCGCATTCATTCTGGGCAGCGTTTCTGGGCTTTGCGTGGGCATGCTTTCATTCTTATTTGTTTCTTACAGCAATGAAAAGTCTTGGCATGCCTTCACATCGGCAGAGCTCTGTTACACTGTAGCAATTTCCCAAAAACGCTGTCCTTGCCTCCTTCGCAGCCGAGAAGCTTAGAGGTCCGCGGTCCCCACAGGCTCAGGCCCAGGAACTGTGCTCGCAAGGCCCCTATGTCCTGGGCCCGTCGAACCAGTGCACGAGGATCCGGATCAGGTTGGGTAGACTGGGTAAGTGAGGAGTTAGAAGCACGTAGTCGCAGAGATAAGTGCATCGTATTGCAATCTGACATGATGTAACGTGGTAGCTCGCAGCGTGTTCAACAGAATGAGAAGCAATGGCGGGCCAGAGTGTTGGAAGGATGCTGAAAGCCAGCCGACCAGGTCTCACTGCAACTTCATTCTGCGGATCTGCAGATGCGGGAGGAGCGGACGGGTTGTTCGGAATTGCCGCCTTCTCGATCCTCATACCAGCGAACTCTGAGACAATCGCATGGTGTAGTGACAAGGAAGGTGCAGTCTGATTCAGAAGCGCCAAGCTTCTTCTCTAAGACCTTCCTCCTTCACCCCAGCTCTCCGAACCCCATAGTTATTCGATCACAACAACGATTTCGGGGATCCGGTTTCTTGCTTCTCCTACTATGCTTGTTCGGTGTTCTTGTCGCAAATGCTGCTCTTCCTATCGTTATGATTGTCGTGTTGATGGGACTATGATGATCAATGACTGCTCAACGGCAAGCCGGTCGACGCACAACCCTGTAACGAAAAGACCCCAAAACCCAGTAGTTGGGACTTAGAGACTAGGACCTCGAAAGGTTGGTTCCGGCGAGATTGTCGTTCGTTCTCACAGGCAGAATCAAGCACGAAGATTCGTCGTGACAAGAATGTGCGACTTACCAGCACCAATCTTGGCTTCGCCGGGCCAAGCTGTAACTCTGATGACTCTGACGAGTGTTGTTGCCAATGTGTAGTTCTGTCACTGCGATGAGTTGCGCAGTCTCACGCGGAAGCACAGGTAGGAGCCACACCAGCATGTCCCTGCTTCTTCCTTCAAGCAGAGGTCCAATGAAACAGCCTATGCATGCATGTATGTACGTACTGGTGCTACCCTTGCTTTTCCTCTTGCAGGACGGAGAGAGACAGGCTGAGTGCTGCTTTCTCGTTGCTAGATTCATCATACTCCACTGTGTGACCACCACACCAGTCCGCGCCTCCAGCGACTTATTCCAATCGGGCAGGGTCGAACAAATGTGTGCAGGTTTCTTCTCATTCGTCCGTAACTGCAGACGGACTCTGTGAAGAGTCATGGTGCTGATGTCGACACAACGGTATTATTTACAGAAGGCCACGCGGCCCCGTGGCCAGACGAGCACGTGGCTATGCCTGCGCGGCCCACTGCCACACGGCCACGGGGCCCCCCGATTTCGAGGAACATGAAGAGGGGAAGAGCACAAACTAGGTGAGTGCTGCCACAGTGCCTGGCAAGTTAGGTTCTGCAGCCCAGAACGCAACGTCATTGGCGATGTCGGATTGCGTATTTCGGTCGGGAGCATCCTCGCCAGGTCGTGCCACAACATGCCGACAGGCCGCTTGCCTGCTTCATGCGGTTCTCCGGGCCTTTCACCCCGAGTTTCACAAGGGAGTCTTGAACGTGGGCCGGGTCATGGGTCGCAGGCCGCAGGCTGGGACCCAAGCTGAATGTCCAGCAACAACCGTTAGACTAACGACTCTTCATCTCCCCAAACAAACTGGGAACGGACGTGAGCTGCCAAGACTTCATAAAGCTGAACCCCCAAGTGGGAAGGTCTGATTCCCCCAGGTCGTCGGCGCCCCAAACTGGCAACCCAAGCGCGAGGCCTCGAAACTTTCATTTTGGCTGTGAATCTTCGGCCCTTCCGCCGGCTGTCATCGGCTGTCGAACAAGTGCTCAAGTTGCAAGCTTCCCAGGTATTCGGGTCCGTTCCCAGTGCCGCTCGGCCGAGGATGGTTGTGAGCTGAGGGTTGTCTGTCATGGATTCAGGGTTGATAGCACTGCAAGCAACTTCTGCAGTGGACTCTGAGCACTACATAGGCCCTGCGAATGAGGGCAAAAGGTTACGGCACCCTCAGAAGCGACAGATCAGGCGCATGGTTGAGCAACACAACAGCGGCCGATGCTTCCCCTGCCTGTTCTTCACACGCAGAGGCCTTGAGGGTGTGGGATTGCCCTTTGTCGGGTTCCAAGTCGACCCCAAGCTCATCTTTCGGTGTCATGGCCATCTCTTCTCTCGTCTGGCTTCTTCGGCCTTCTCGGCATCTAATGGGCCATTGTGATCCTGTGTTGACAGTGTCGTGGGTAAACCACAAACCAAGAGTGTTTTAAGGCTTTGTTTTTCGTTCAGTGGCATGCGACATGCAAGGGGGTTGGGTTGTACGCTTGCTGCGGTTCCGGACCAGCAGAGCGAGACATAGTAGAACTGATTTCGGCATAATCTCTACAGTATGGCCCCATCTTCCTTACCCCCAGCTCAAGCCCTGCATGCAGGAGATGGCTGCAGGCTCCTTGTCCGTTCACGCAGAAAGTTCTCTCTGCGGGTTGTTCGAGCTGGGGAGTCAGGGCCACTTCTTGGAGGTGTAAGTTGGCGATTGCGCTGACTCTGTCCGCAGTTCCTTTGCCGGGTGTTTTGGCAGCAAGATTCCATTGTCTCTGGTCTGGCGGTCTCCTGGGCGTGGTTCCTTGAGGGCACCAAGAGCATGGTGCTAGTTACTAGTAGTTTAAAACCGCATTTGAGCCCCGAACAGTTTAGCACAAGCGCCGCCCTGAAGCCAAAGATTGGAATCTCACACCACGGCCAGGCAGGGTGACCGTTGCACGCACTGCCACGTGCCCTGTCTGCAGTCCACATGACTTCTTGTCGTTGTTCGTTGTCTCTGCTTGAAAATTGAAACTGATGCTAGTTTACTGCAGGGCTCCATGGTTTGTATGATGCAGCCCTCAGGCATTCCGGCTTACTGTCGGATTCAGGGCAGATCTCGGTTAGTGTCTAGTGCAGGAGCTCGGAACGAATGCAAGCAGAGGCTTGTTTGTTGTTCCAGGTTTTAGTAGCAGAAGCCGTCTGGCAGGTCTGCAGGCCAGATGAGATTCGCCGAAGGAGCAGCGTTTTGGTGCAACAGTGCAGCATTGCTGTGTGTCAGGGTTCTTGAGCATCCAGTTTACCGGGACGTCGTTGTGTTAAGGATCTTAGGAGTTTTGCGGGTGTAGCGGTGCAGCGATGTTAGCTGCAGGGGATCGACCGTAGCCAAAAGTCGCATGATATAGTGCTATAGTACAGTTGGAGTTGGGTGACAACGCAGTTCTTGACAGTGTAGTCGTGTTCGGGGTCCACAGAAGGTGTTGGACCAGTCCTGTTGCAGCAGAAAGCCATCACTTGTCTCTCTCCTCGTCGCGCCACAGCCACAGGAGGAATCGTATCGCTGCGGAGGTGAAGAGAGAAAAGAAGCTCGCCAGCGCTGGCGCCAAGCAACCTGGAGCGATTCCTATCAACCACCAATCTTTCTTGGGAGCACCCCGCAACATCACTCGAACGAAACGGGCGAATATCATTCTCCTCCTGCTGTGTCGAAGTTTCAGCCCAGGAAACTGCGATGCCCGTAGTGGCCGTACTGACTTCGACATACCCCTACCACTGACTACTGGAGTTCGTGTTGCAGCATCTCATTCTGCAGCGTAGTCAGCAGACCTCGAATACAAGTAGTAGTAAACCTTTCACACAGGAAGGTCCTCGACACATGGGCTTCCCATTCCTTCCTCGTCGAATAAGTTAAGGTCAATGAAGGAGCTATCTAGAATCCTTTTCCCGAACTCGTTCGCACGAGCTTGCAAGGCATCAGCACCGCGGCTTGGCCCTCAAATGAAGCTTGCCTTCTGGCCGAACGAGGCTGCAAGCTCCAAGTCTTAGATAATTCACACCTTGGATGTTGCCGTGGTATTGAGACCACTCAAAATCCTCACGTACACGGACTTCTGTGCCGATTGGGGGGTTTGGCACTAGAAGAGCATCCAAGACAAGCTCAATACCTCCGACCTTGAGCCTGAACATCCACATCCACTAGAGCGTTTCACATGGAATCGAGAAACGGGTTTAGAGTATAGGTTCCCTTGCTTGCTGCCCTGGAGCTGCTGTTGCTCCCTCCGCTTCGCGCGCACGAGTTAGAGTCCAGAGTCTGCTACCGTATCGATGCCAGACTCAAGGGACTTAGATGCTTCGACATCACCCGAGGAGGACAGCTGATGGATCGAGGAGTGAACGGAGCTAATCCCCCGAGTTGTCTACGGCGCCAGGTGGTAAAGGTGCCGCTGGCACTTTTTGCGGAGTCGAGGTGCCAGGTGCCAAGGGTTTAGGAGGGCAGTGAAGGGCCTCTAAGGGGGGTCCCTGGTGAGGGTTTAGGAGGGCTCTAAGGGGGAGTGAAGGGCCTCTAATCCCTCGTGCTTCAGGGGTCCCAGACGGAGGGAGGGGATTGAATAACAGGGGTGGGGGGGAGGAGTTTTTGGCTTTTTGGGCTCTTGCACGGTGTTCCAAACCAGAAGTATGGAAGATCTTGCAATAGATTTGGAGGCGTGTGGATCCCACCTTCGTTATAGGGTTGTACTCATTCTTGGATACGCTAATGTGGAGTTCCCCCTTAGCTTGATAGATTCGAACGCCGTGGAGTTTCGCCTTATTTTGCCTGATTACCTGATTCGACCGCGGTGGAAGATTGCGTTTCCCCCGCGCGACCGGGGAGTTCCCCCTTAGCTTGCCCGATTCGAACGCCGTGGGGACGCGCAGCATCGCGAAATCAGACACACGCGGACGCTTGCGAACGCTTGCGGGCGCTTGTGGACGCTTGCGGACGCTTGCGGGCGCTTGCGAACGCTGCGCACGCATTTCGCGTCAACTCCTCGAATGTGGTGGGGACGCGCGTCCTTTGGAGTTCCCCCTTAGCATCGCGAAATCAGACACACGCGGACGCTTGTGGAGTTCCCCCTTAGCTTTTGCCAGATTCGACCGCGGTGGAAGATTGCGTTTCCCCCGCACGACCTGTGGAGTTCCCCCTTGCCTTGCCTGATTCGAACGCCGTGGGGACGCGCGTCCTTTGGAGTTCCCCCTGAGCTTGCCCGATACGAACGCGCATGGGGATGCGCGTCCTGTGGAGTTTTGCCCCTTAGCTTGCCCGATTCGAACGCCGTGGGGACGCGCGTCCTTCGGAGTTCCTCCTTAACAGCGCGAAATCAGACACACGCGAACGTACGCGGACGCTTGCGTGCACTTGCGGCTGCGCACGCATTTCGCGTCAACTCCTAACCCCCACACCGACCCCCAACCTTGAAACGAGAACCCTTCTGCTGCGCATTCGGGAATGAATACAGCGAGCTCGTGTACGGCCTTTTCCCCGCATCCGTCGTCCTGATGTGGATAGGGATCCTTATCGTCCTTAGATGTCCTTATAGGTACATATATATATATATAATACAATATGTATATATATATATATATATATGGCTCGTACCGACGAGAAAGTGAGTCTGACATCTGACCAACATAGAAACTGCTGAGTGAGCCAGCCATGTCGCCTTTGATAATGATGCTGTCCTTGGCGACACAAGTTGCCAGCGAACGATGTGAGGGGTTTTCTGCGGATCACTGCAGCGACCCTGCGCCACTTTGCCGGCGCACAAGCTACATTGAGGCTTGTTCTTGCTCTGAAGGCTACGAGGCCCAGGTGGTGCGGAGATTGAATTATTCCAGAGGCGCTCCTACTCCGTGGGTGGAATTCGGTTGTTGCCCCAGTGAGAGCGGATGGGTCTCTGACTGCGGCCAGGAACAGGAAGCAGTCCTCACAGCTGTTGGGGTCCTGCTTGCCGCAAGCCTAGTGGGCATTTTGTGGGCCACCATCATCATTAACTGCAGTGTGCCTTTGTTGCCCAAGAAGACAGCGAACGATGCAAGCGTTGAGACTTTACCGGTGACGCTGGACGGCCCCAGGCTGCACGAAAGTGTAGCCATGAGCCACTGGTGCGTCAGCTTGGAGGACCTGAAGCAGTTCAGACGACTGGTGATGCACGCTGTCAAGGATGGCCGCATCACGCCGACCGAGCGGGACAAGTTTGATCCATCAGATTTGAGGCATGGACCATCAATGTACACGGTAAATGAGCAGTATATCAAGCCAGTCACGGCTGCCGCAGGGCGCGTGAGTTGGGCTTTGATGAAGCATCCGGATGGGCTGCGCTGCGATTTATTCATCACGCACGCTTGGGCTGAGGGGATCTTCGAGTTTGTTGACAAAGTGGTCAGCTGCTGGCCGCGGCATGCCGCTGGTGCTTACGTTTGCTTCTTATCCAACCCACAGAACCTGGACATTGGACATTTGATTGCGAGCCCTGAGAGCTCGCCATTCGCCCAGGCCATGCAATCTGCGACTCAGGTTCTAGTCGTGTCGAATAAGACATGTAGCATCTACTCGCGGCTTTGGTGCGTCTATGAAGCATTCTTAGCATATTCCTGGGAGAAGCCCATCAACACGGCAAGGGCTTTGGCTCCAGGGGCTTTGGCACGAAGATTCCGCATTGCATGCGTTTGTGTGGCAAGCATGTCGGCGTTCTTGTTGCTCCCCGCGGAGGTTCTGGATGATGTATACCTTAGCATCTTTAGGTTGGTATCTCGGATTGTGGCCATGAGTTTTTCCCTTCTCTCCTTGGCCTTGCTGGGATCACGCGGCCTCCGAATCTCAGCAATTCATGAAGCTGCAGTGTTGGGTGCCGCAGTTTCTTTAGGCTTGTCTTTTGCTTCAGCGATAGCCCACGAGACCTTTGGAATGTTCGCCCTCAGAGATTTCTTATTCTGCGTGGGTGTAGCCACTGCCCTGGAGATTGACCGGCAGAACTCTCTACAGGCATCCAAACAGGTGGAGGAGCTTCAGCGCGGCTTCACGTCCTGTCACAGTGCTTCCTGTTCCTCCTCCTCCGATGCGGAAGCCATTTGGGGGCAGATCCGTGAAAGCAATCGTGAGGCTGAGGTGGAGGATGCCGTGTCAGTCTTGCGTTCGATGAACATCTTCAGCCGTGAGCTGCACGCAACCGTAGAGCGCACGGGCCCCTTGGGTGATGCTTCCATGTGGAATCGCACCGTTGTGGTCGCGAGCATCATTTTTTTCTGGGGATCTGCGCCGATTATTCTCCTCGGCCACCAGGAAGAGTTCAGTGTCTCCAACTTTTGGCTGGTGCTGCTGACTGTTCTGTCAGCTTTGGAAGCCCCAACAGGCCTGGGCTTGTTTGCGGTGCTTCCCTTGGACAGAAGAGCTTTTGCAGCTCGGGCTCAAATTATCTGGGCACTTTTTCTCCCTACTATCTTCATAGCAAACAGTGCCTACGGCTTCACGAGGTGGTTCCTGCAGATCTTCGCACTCACCCCTTTGACTCTTGCGATTTCGGCTTTGGGGCCAAGAAGGACAGCCCGGATTCCTGTCCTTGGCCCATGCTTCGTGCGCCTGATCTTCTTTGCGAGTGTCACAAAGTGCCTTCAGAAGATCGACAAAAAGCGGAGACCGAGTTCTGGCCCTGAGCTGCCTAAGCCGGAGCCAGACTCGTTTAGCATCTGACGTGCAGTAAGTTCGAGTTAGGGGCCGAATTCGAGCTAGTTGGCAAATTGCCACAGTCTTCACAAGGTCCTTGTGTATTTGCAGGGCTCCTTTCCTGCTGTTCATTGTGCGAATTTTCACTCTGACTTGACCACCTTTGCACATCTAAACGCACCTCGAAGGAGGTGAACTGTTCGATGCGCTTTCTTTCCGTGCCGCTGAACAGAGTCGTTCAAGGCTGCTGACTCAGGCATTTGGCAAAAGTCGTGCCCATGTGCGATAGTCTCTTGAGCCTCGAGCTTCGTGCTGCGTGGAGGAAAGCCAGGCGCTCCATTCCCTCTATGGGCCCCTGAAGCCATCGGCCCGGTTCTTGAACGCCCAGAAAAAGCTGCACACCGAGGTCATTGATGGATCCCGGACCGGAACCGACCCTCTGGGTTGAAGTTGGTGCCCGTTACCAGTCTCAATCGGCAGGCGATGGCAAGCCTCAGCATGGAGTTTCGGGGTTGGAGCGCGTGTCGTTTAACTTCAGATGCCACGAGCTGGGAGCTCCACAGGTTCTGCTCGGCATGATGAATTCTGGATTCTGCTAAATGCTACCAGCTCAGCCCGACACCCGCCCGAGTCCAAGACTAGGCCAAACAAGAGTGTAAACTATTGACCCGTTCATCATCTCCGAAAACCCTCAAGACCAAGCGGACAGCTGCAACAGGCAACATTGTCGATTGCTCCGGATGTTAGGGGTGGGGTTTCCCAAAACAGCTGCTTCCATGACTGCTTCTCATCGTCTGCCGTTATCTGTCTGAAAGGAGCCGTAAAGGCACACATGTACCGCTTTATGAAAGCTTTATACAGCTGTTAGCAGCTGCAGCCACCAGAGCCGGTCAAGGCCTCACGGCCTTTTGTAAGGCCGCAATCTGCCGGATCCGTTTCTCGATGCATTTCTTGAAGGTTGCATGTAGGAGCGAGGTCACTCTTTCGATCAACTTGCAGACAATTAAAGGTCGCCTTTTCAGCGGGGGCAATTGATAATCAACTTCCCGCTGCACGCAGCTTTCGGTTGCGGTCAAGGATATCGCTTGCACGGAACTGGCAGACTTTGACGGTGGCAGACCACACTGTCGCATTTGTGCTCTCCCGGCCTGCCGGTGCAGGCGATAGCCAGCTGAGACCAGCGGGCTAGCTTTTCCAGTCAATTCCAGTGTTGGAGTGTTTGACCGGAGGTGACGGCGAAGCTCAGATCGCATTGCGACAAACAAACTGGGAGGTGGATATGTTTCGCTTGTTCTTCGAAGTCGATCCTTCACGAATTCTTTGAGGAAGCCCTCAGCTTCAGACGTCGCGGGGCCATGCCTCAGACGTCGAGAGCATATCCCGCATGAGTTGTTGGCATGTTATGATTGCAAGCTTGCAGGTGTTTGGACGTTGAATTGATGGGTTTGGGTCAGAGTGCGCAAGAAACTCATCTCCTGCGGCATCGATCACACAAGACTGCATAGGCTGCATAGGTACAATGGTACAAGTATGTCATGACACTTTAGCGGCCAACTCGGCCAAGACCCAGAAAGCCCTGGCGGGACTTGCGCCAATACGCGACCGCCAGTCCGATCTGTAGCCCGTGCAACTTTCATGGGCCAGGTCATTCGTCATTCCGGCTGCAAGGGTCTAGTCTAGGATGAGTAGTTTCTCGAGTAGGCAAAACTCCTTGTGTTCTGCAGTCGTTGTGCATTCTAGGACTCCTCTAAGGTTCTTCTTCAGGTTCTTTGGGTGTCAGGGGGGCTTTGTCCCTTTTCGAGGTTTTGCATTGGGGCATGTTTTGGTCGAAGACAGTTTGCTCCAGATGGCACTGGAATTCGGGGGTCTT